GAGCGGGTCCCTTCTGGCCTGGCCCCTTAAGTCCTCTGGGCATGATGAGTGTACGCCCTCTTATCTGACTCAGGGTGGAGGAGTCCAGTGACCCAGGAAGCCCCACCATGTGATGGAAGGGGCCTGGACGTTAGAGCTCTGCTCACAGGGAAACCTGCTCTGGACTTGGCCTGCACTGGAGTAGATACTAATGGTATTTGAGCTGTTACCCAGTTCTGTGAGTTAGTTTGCCTAACTAGTGTAGACACTATGCCTAGGGTGCTGTGAGAGACTGGCGAGATGCGAACAGTTGTGCTCTGCCTTAATCTTACTTCCATGTAGTGCTATATGTAGTGACCATGGATTTCAAGAATTGATCTAAGTCTTGATAGAGCAGGTGACAGAAAATGTTTAGTGTACCCCTTGTAACTGGTCCAGTGGTTATTGCACTCAATGTGGCTGCTTTCCCTCTTTGATTTAATAAGCTGTGTGGATCCTCAGTTAGCTTAAAAGCACTCCGTGGAGACTCAGACATCCTCAGTCTGTATTTCAGAGAGCTGTAAATACAGTTTTCATCCTGCTACGTCTCTCTTCCAAAGCCTTTAATCATTTCTTATTATATAACATTTTATCTCATTAATCCATCATCGCCAAACTGTGTGCATATGTAATGAAAGTGCCTATGGGTGGCATCCTGACCTAGGTGTTCTGAAGAGACAGCGAACGAGATAGCCCTGTCTGGACCTCTGCCTTTACACACTGCTACCAAAATTCTAGCCTTAAAAAGCCATGTCTCATTTTATCATTACATTTTCCCAGCATTGTCTCTTAACTAGATACATAAATGTATGCTTAAGAGCACTGCATCTCCTCGCTTGGGTATTTCTAGCAGATAATTGAGTAACTGTCCCTGTAGTTTCGTTTAATTATTTTGTTTGGATATTCTGGCATGAATTTTAAATTATAGTCTGTAAAGTCTTTTTAGTCTATTCATAGAATTAGGTAGTTGTAGAATGTCAGGGCTGAAGGATCTTTTTTAGCTTGTATTTCTAAGTCCTCATCTCCTAGGTTGATGATCTGGTTCCTGACTTTCAAGGTGTGGCCATGAATCCTGGTATCGGCTCATTTGGCACTTGTCAGGGAAGGGCTTTCAGGCCCTCACAGACTGTGAGTCAGAACTCATATTTGCACAAGGCCCTCAGGTAACTTGCATGGATGTGGAGTTGGAGAAATCCCATTCAAGTGTCCTCTCCCCTTTGACTTGAGGAAACAGAAAGAGTACTTGCTCAGAGTCACACAGCTGCTTATCTCCCATCTTGGGGTCACTCATGACCTTGACAGAAAACATTTCAGGGTTCTAAAAATTCCCTGAGTTGACTGCCTGAGGCTGAGAACAGTTGGTGGAGGTGGAATCCAGGTGTCCCATGCTTTTCAGCAGGCGATCTCATCACCCTGTCATGGGTGTGCACTCTGGAGCAGTCATGGACGGACAGTTCTTCAAGTTGTGTGCCGCTTGATTTCTTTTATCAAAATATTTAATTATGTGTACGAGCGTATTGCCTGTGTGTATGTAGGTACACCCTTGTGCAATGCCCACAAGGTCAGAAGAGGGTGTCGGATCCCCTGGAACTGGAGTTCTGGATGGTAGTTAGCTGCCATGTGGGTGCTGGGAACTGAACCTGGGTCCTCTTTTTTTAAAATTTTATTTATTATTTTTATTTTATGTGTATGAGTGCACCCGTGTCGTGCAATGCTGTGGAATTCAGAAGAGAGTTTTGGATTCCCTTGGAACTGGAGTTAAGGACAGTTCATAGCTGCAATGTGGGTGCTGGGAATCAGACCCGGGTGCTCTGCAAGAGCAGTCAGTGCTCTTAACCGCTGAGCCATCTCTCCAGCCCCCCCACCCCTTTAAAAATATTTATTTACTATTTTCACTTTATGTGTATGCATGTATTGCCTGCATGTAGGTAAGTGTACCCGTGTCGTGCAATGCCCGCAGAGGACAGAAGAGGCCATTAGATCTCCTGGAACTGGAGTTACAGACAGTTAGCTGCCATGTGGGTGCTGGGATTCGAACCTGGGTCTTCTGCAAGAACAACCAGTGTTCCTAACCGCTGAGCCATCTCTCCAGCCCTGAACCTGATTCTCCTGAGGGCAGCCAGTTTAGCCACTGAGCCATCTCTGTAGCTCCTCTTTGTCAATAGCATTTACCTTGACTGTAGAGCCCCCACTTAGGGTCTGTCTGCCCTGCCCCCCTGGAATGGCTCTTGAGAAGAGCAGGACCCTTGCTCACTCTAACTCCCTGTTGGGTCTCAGCTCCTGCAATGTCTGGAATGTGGCCAGTACTTCTTTCATATCTGCCTTTCGTATCAAATGGAATGGGTTGCATTAGAGGTTGTTCTGTGGGAGGGAGGGAGGCTGTCTAATCGTGGGGCCAGAGGCTTCAAGGACCACCTGCCCTGTGGAGCTCTAGAAGACCTTAGGGAGAGCAGCCGGACTTGCACTGCTGTGGGAGGACTTGAACCCACAGCTCTGCTTTTCCACTGTGCAGTGCTGTCCTGAGGGACTGATTTGTCCTGGCTTCTCAACAGTGAATGGGGGAACCAGGATGGACCCCTTGAGCTCTGCAGATCTTGGGACTGGTACTAGTGTGGCTGAGCCCCTGCACTGTCAGAAGTATCTGGGGATGGCTCTTGAGTGTGGTCCCTTGGGTAGGGGCTGGCCCAGGAACCCATCCAGGATGGATGTTCACGCTGTCTTTGCTTTGGCTTATTTGCTTTGAGAACTTGGAGTTTTTGATTAAACTTGACTCTACTTCTGTGAGTTCCTTTCTGTTAGATCGGTGGAAGCTGTTGATGATGCCGCTGCTGTGGGGAATGTTTGGCAGCGCTTGTCCATATTTCTTCATGTGGCCACTTTGGCGCTCAACTTTTCCTCATTCCTGTTTGGGATGTTTGACCCTAATTTACTTACTGGACTTTGAAGTTAGATGTGAGAATCCGTTCTTGTGAAGCCACCTCACCGAGCACTAGTGATTATGAAACTTGACTTAAGATTGTTGTTAAGATGGCTTGAAGAGCAGTTAGTTACTGTTACGATATTTCTTTTTGGTAGGAGAAAATGTTGTCTTCAATGTGAGACATTCTTTTTAACATCGTTCAGAAATTGCATGGAGATGTGTGTGACCAGCAGCTTGCTGGAGGCTGGCAGACGTTAGATGCAGTTGGAGCTCTGCTCATTTCACGTCCACCAATGCACATCGTACTTTGTCATGTCTTGCTCATGCTAAAGGTGGAACTGACGTTCGGTGAGACTCTTGGTGAAGGGAGAATCATTGGATCTAGATGTTTCCATAGGTGGTTCCTGCAGAGATTACTGTAGGTTGCCACTACAGAGTTAATCAAGTGGAGAGTGACGGTAACAGTCCTAGAACAAGAATTTTCCAGAAGCTGAAGAGAAAGAAGGAGCTGATTGTTAGCTTAGGAGTCTTGTTATGGGGGGACTTTATCGTATGGACTCTGTAGGTAATTTAACTTTAGAGGTGCTTGATCATGGTGTAGGAGAGGAAAAGTAAAAAGTCATGAGTCAGGCTTAGGCAGCCTTCTTTGTCTGTAGTTAGTTAACTGGTGCTTTATGTCTGCTTGGCAGTTAAGTTCCCACTTCCCATAAGATAGAGAGCAGTGCCTTTGCCTTCTGACATGATGCAGAGGTTCCCGTGCTTTCCCAGGACTGCTAACAAGTGCTTGTACTTTGAATCTAAAATGTTAAAGGGTGACATTTGAAGTTGTAAACTGTCTTTGGTTTTTTAATGTATGATAATCTAAGATTTCCCTTAATGCTGCAGCCAAAGAAGTGATTCGTAGGACTGAAAACAACTGACTTAGCTGGGTGTGGTGACACAGCTGTAGTCCCAGCACTCGGGAGGCAGAGGCAGGCATTGCTCTGTGAGTTCAAGGCCAGCCTGGTTTACATAGTGAGTTCCAGGCCAGCTGGGGCTGCAGGGAGACCCTGTCTCAACAAAACAAAACGACGAAAAAGAAAATAGTTGTCTGGCAAGACCCAAAGATATTTTTCTTTTGAAAGTTTTTATTGTATAGGTTTTTATATGAAAACTTCGATTTTATTTGAATGAAGTGGCTTAAGAGCTTGTCTTCTGCCCCGTCCTGTTTTGTTCCCTCTACATACTGCTCTTCAGCACTCAAGAGATGACTTTTGTTTGTTTCTGTTTTTGAGACAGGGTCTCACTAAGTAGCTCTACCTGGCCTGCAATTCACTGTGTAGGTCAGGCTGGCCTGGAGCTCAGATCTGCCTGCCTCTGCCTCCCGAGTGTGGGATTAAACAGAGATTCTTTCGTATGAGTTGGGTGTTGAATGTGTTGTTGGGACATAGTAATGTTGATACTGAATGTAAATGAGTATGATACTGACATTCCTTCCTAGTAAAAATGCATTCTGTGTACAACATGTGTTCCATTAAAAATCACACAGGCAGTGCATGTCCTCGGTGCTGTGTTCGTCACACACATCTTAAGTGTGGAAACATCTTCAGCCGGCAGCATAAAGAACTGTTAACTCCTCTGAGCTGTTTATGAACCGGAGGGCAATGGTCAGCGTTCTAAAATGCTGCATTTCTTGTGTATTTCTTAGAAACAAGAACATTTTCTTCCATTAACTTCAATAGTCACAATCTGGAAGTTAGCAGTGAGACATTTCTAACATCTAATCCTTAAATCCCATTTCAGTTTTGACCATTGTTTTAAAAAGTGCAGTCAGAACCTTGGGGCTTGTTCAGTCGCCTCTTCATTCCCCTGGATACAGAGTGGTTCTCAGTCCTTTTCTGCTCGAGACCTTGACACTAAAGTTCCCAGGCCAGTCATTTTGTGGAATGTTCCTATTTTGGATTTGTCTGATGTTTCCTCATAATTGGATTCAGGTTTTACATCTTTGTCAGGAATACCACAGAAGAGCCAGAGTATTTCTCTTTCAAAGATTAGTTTTACATTTTATTTTCTGTTTCCTTAGAGCGTTTCCCAAAGTGTATTCTGCGGAACTAGCACCTACTGTGTTCTCAACACCGTGCCACCTATAGAAGGTAGGACTTGGAAAAAGCTTTTGACTTACAGGAAGGGGTGGGCTTGGCCGTGAGAATAATTCCGTCCTCACAGAGCAGTGGAAACCGCTTTTGAGCAGGACTTAGGAGGCCTAGGTTCTGCCTTTTAACTGCTGTGTGATCTTAGATGAGTTACTTAATCTTCCTGAGACTGCAGAAAGAATACTTGTCTCATGAGCTTTCTGTAAGGATTCACAAAAGCAGTGGCTCCCAGTCACATAGAAGAGTCACAGCACCCTACAAATGTTGAGTCTAATGTACCACTTCTGTGCTGGAGAGATGGCGTAGAGACAGAGTGGCATTGTGGGGAAACCAAAGATTAGTTTTGAATCCCAGTTGAGTTACTTGTAACTGTGGATCTTGACCAAATAATTCTCAACCTCAGGCTCCTTATCTGTAGAGTGGGAGTAATTAAGATCCCATGTTTCATCCTGAGGATTAAACGAAGGGGGAGCAGGGTGTCAAGGCCTCTCTGGGTGTCTGATAGGTTCCACAGATACGTACTGTCTGATAGGTAGAGCTCCCCCAATCAGTAGAGTAGAGCTACTTGATCACCTGTTGCTAAGGTTGGACTTGAATGAAAACAAACAGGAGATACCCCCATGCTTAAATGATGGGGGATGTTTGTAAGGCTTCTCTGCCTCTGTATGCTTCCTCTCTGTAGTTTACATTGAAAATGTAATTGTAGAATAAACAGAAGTTTACTGAACCTGAGTTATGAGTAACCCTAAGCCTGGACCAGGGATGTAATAACATTCCTGACAGGAAAATGGCATATGTGGTCCACCTAAAAGTAGGAAGAGTGAGATGTCATGATCATGAAGGGAGAGAGGTTGTCAAATAACAAAACTAGTTATCCTTTCTACTTAAAATTACTGTGTTTTCTTTAAAAATGTTTTTGGATAACCACAACTGTGTTTAATTCAATTTGGAGACTGTCTGGAAAAGAATAGTACATATTCCTATCAGTGCTTGGCACATGATACTTAATTATCATCTGTTTGGTGAATAGTGATAGGAAGGTCTTAGGTTGGTCACTGCAGCACTTGCTGCTGTGAGCACTGCCTACTTGACAACAGCACGTACCTGTGCTTTCCTGAGTCCCTTCCTAGCCTACTAATTAAATCGAAGCATGTGATAATTAGAGCTAAACAGAAAATTGTAGAGCTTCCTTTTAAAAAACTATTACTGGAAGTTGTTGATCAAATACGTTCCCAATAAGATTTAGCAACTGGATTCACTGTTATATCAGATCATTTGAATAGTTCATTCTAGAGATTGAAGGCTGATGAGTCATGACCAGCTTGCTTGAATAAAGATGTTCTCATTGACTATAGGACACAGTTTTTATTTTTTATCATAAATGAAGAGGACATAGAGGCATCGCTGCTGGGTAGAGCTAAGCAGTTATAGCCTGCCTTGCAGCTAGCTGTCAAGAGTACCCCAGAAACAGCCCGAATGTATTTCTTTGGCTTTAAATAAGAGATTTAGCAATGTGAATCCCAGTTTTTAGAAGCAGAACTGAACGCAGGAGCTCTACTTTTTGTCTCATTAACTGAGTGAACACTTTTGCACGTTTTAGAAAGATTTAGCTAAATTATAGTATGCCTCTAAAATGATCATTTAGAAAATATTTGAGGGTTGACTAGAAAGGATGGTTCATTCCCTAGAATTACAGCTGTCAGCCAAGCACATCATCTGCCAACTTCCAGAGCCCCACCAGTTACATTTTTATTGTGAAGTAGGTTAGAGAATTATTTTGTGAAGCCATATATCACACACACACATTTCGCTAGATGACGATGATGAAACACCTTGCCGTCATTCTCCTGACACTCCCGTTTTGCAGTGTCAGAGTTTAAACTGTTCGAATTGAATACTGAGATGCAGCTGAAACCCGTTCATACCTTAATTTTATTGTTAACGGAAGATACTATTGGATTTAAAAACCAGCACATATGTTTAATTATTTAATCATTTATAGCTATTCTAAAAATACTAAACAGTAGCTTTTAATTAAAAACACATTTTTATGTGGTATCGCTATATGAACAGTTCTTTTCTGGTGTAAAAACAAAGTTTGTTGCCATACTTTAACCAGAAACACTGAAATTTGAGATTTTTATTTTCATTTATTTTTTGTGTGTGTGGGGACAGCACCCAGGACCTTGTGTTTGTCAGGCGAGCTGTCTCCCAGCGAGCTAAGCCCCAACCCTAAATTTTTGACATTCTTCCTCTTTACATCCCTAGTAACTCCCAGTGTTGAAATTGCTGCCTTCAGAATGCACAGGGCTTTGTTACGTTTCCTAAAACTATCCAGTTTATATTCAGCATGAGTCTACAGTTCCAGAAATGGCATAGTTTAAAACCTGATTCTGGGGCACCCGCCAGCCTTGTTGTACCTCTGTTGCTTTTCAAGCCCTGGCTGCACGTCCCAGGAAGTGCTGCGTACAGAAACTTGATTGAGACGCGCACACAGCACTCTGCTTCCTCTTTAAGACCCTTTGGGCCGAGTCACCACTGCCTGACATGGTATCAGAGTGGAAGACCGAAGCTTTTCCTGTGACCATTGAACCATTGAAAAGAGGGACGGACACACACACACACACGCACACGCACGCACACACGCACACGCACGCACACACGCACACACGCACACGCACGCACACACGCACACGCACGCACACACGCACACGCACGCACACATCCTTACCTCATTGCAGCAGCTTCCTTAAAGAGGCTAAAAGGACAGAAAATTGGCCCGTGTTCCGACCATAAACAAAGGCTGGAGCTGCATGTTCTTTTGACAGCTCACTCAGGAGATGACTGTTCAAATACTGAATGCATCAGTTAGGTGCTGACCTGGTGCCATTTTCCTGAAGGATCCCCTCTAAATATTGAATATTTGAATTGAACTTAGATTTTTAGATTTTCATCATTACTTTCAAAGTTGTATACTTCACTTGGGGCTGAAAAAGAGAGAGCGAATAAAACCATACTAGGGCAGAGAAAGGAGGTAAAGTGTCATGTGATTCTGTCTGCTGGGCTTTGAAATGTTAGGCCCACGTTCCCCTGGGGAGGATGAAGTGCAGGAGCCCGCATGAGCACATAAAACCACAAAGGTTTTATAGCGTGTAATTAATAAAAACTTTCTATTAACTTTCTTTTAGTTGGTTTCCTTTCAGTTTTTCAGCCAGATTTTTAAGAAATTTAATCTTATTTGGTATTAAATTAAAAATTTGGATTTCTTAAAAGCAGTTTCATGAAAGTTTTCAAGTTTTTATCCTGCTATAGAAATATATGACTGTGTGATAATTCAATTGGTTATGTAGTTCATGGACCAAAAAGATTTAGCATGCTAAAACTCTCTTACGTTCCTCCTTATAAAATGTTCTATATGATGCGATAAATTTTTTCAGACTATTTTTATGCCCAATATTTTTCTCTTAGGATTTTTTTCCCTCTGAGAAGTGCAGACGTGTTAAGCAGTTGAGAAATGTTTGTGGGAGTGTTTTGTGACCTTAGAAAACGTTTTTTATTCTTTTACTTATATGCATTCCCCCCTAAAAAGACTAATTAAATAAAAACATAGTAAATAACTGGAAAACACGCTGTGTCTCACTTTCTGTGTTGTGAGGCTTGCACACCTCTGCCAGGTTGTGACTTGTTACTGAAGTACAGGAAATTTTACAGGAATTTGTACTTGAAGGAGAATCAAGTAATTTCTAATTCTTTAATGATGTGGGAAAACTGAAAATATTAAGTAACTTACCCAAGGTCACACAGTTAAGAGAGCAGCAGAACTGGGCCACAGCCGTGGACTCTGGGCTCTGAGTTCAGTCTTGTTACTATGTCTTAGTAATATTAGGGGAAGCTAGGGAAGCTGTAACCAGACCAGCTACAGCCCCGGTATGTTGGTGTGCTGTCCTTAGTACTGAGGCATTGCGTGCTTCAGGTGCAGGCTGGCTGAGCCGACTCTTCAGCCGACTGGGATTTCATTTAGCATAAAAAAATCGGAGTGGGTAATTTGAAACTTTGACCTAAATTTGCCACAACTGGCAAGGAATTTTGAGCCAGGAAAAGGGACTGTACTACAGGAGTGGAAAAATAAACGATATGTAAATAAATGACGAATATTATGCAAAGAAATGATCTAGAAAAGCATCAGGTAGTCTGATTATCAGGTAGTCAGACTTACTGTCTAGCCCCAAGTAGTTAATTTTCCTCTGACTCATTTAGAAAGAGCTACATTTTGATGAAATGCATTAATTCTGCAGATGTATACATGTAAATCAAGTCAATTAAAGGGACAGTTTTTTTTTTAAGGTTCAGTCTAGAAAGGCTACTTCTGTATTATGTGGTAGTTAACTGCAGGTTAAAATTCCTTGCAAGATTGTGATTTGCTCTAGAAAGGATAAATCATTTATATTCTAGGGGACAGAGTAATATCTAGTTTATGAATAAAAGTCACATAATTCTTATGTAAAAATCCTTGAAACTTTATCAAGTGGTTAATAAAAGATTTCTGGGTTTTGTGAGGCTTAATCATTCTGTAATTTTGATGTGCTTCTGGGAAGGAAAGGGCCTTTAAGCGTAGTGCTCTCTCTGCCTGTGGGCAGCCGGGGTATTCCCTGCCCCTGGCTTGTGATGGAGTGAGGCTCAGTCCTGTTTGAGAGCCTCCTGGCCAGATTCCTGCTGCCCCCACATCTGACAAGTATGCAGAGCTGCAGAGAGGAACAGAAAGCCTCTGATGCTCCCACAGCCACTAAGCTGGTGTTTCTGACCTTGTCAGTGTGCTTAAAAGGAGGCTTTTCTCTTGCTTTCTCTGAACTTACTGTCTTCTTCTTTCTAGATGATCATGGAAACAGCAATAGTGGTCATGTAAAAATCTTTTTACCGAAAAAGCTGCTTGAATGTCTGCCGAAATGTTCAAGTTTACCCAAAGAGAGGCACCGTTGGAACACTAATGAGGTAGATAAATTTCAATTTTCAAGGGTATAATTATTTTAAGGATGAATTTTTTAGGTTGTTTTTCATAGTACCACTTTATATTAGCTTTAAATTCAATCAATATATTGATCAAAGAAGTTGTCACTGAAAAGAGTATGTAATCTGTACTTGACACAAACCAGCTTGTGTCTTGACCTCTCTGATGTTCTTGGCTTATGTTGGAGGTGGTGAACTGCATGCTGGCTCAACTAAAGAAGCATGCATTTTTATGCCTGTGTTTCTTGCCCTTTGGCATCTTGTGCTTGGTGTTTAATTCTCCTTACATCTCAGCTAAACATCAGGTCCGTGTTGTCATGAATGAATGGCTGTAGAGTCCTAGTGCTTCACAGAAAATACTGTTTTGAAAAGTCAGTGTAGAGCTGGGGACAGGCTTGTATTTCCTTTTCAAAGAGGAGAGTTTGTTTTGAGTAACGACTTCACCCTAATAATGGGAATTTTTTTTAGGAATGCAGACTGGATGGGAGTCACATACCTGCTACCCAGGTGAAAAGGAGATTGATGGAGTAGAAAGAGGAAAGTAGGGTTATCTTAAGTCTGTGGTTTCCTTTTTTGGTATATTTTAATCTGGGGATCTGAACATTAGCAGAGCATTGCTTTGCCATCTAAATTTTTAGTTTGAAATCTGGATACTTAAGCTGGGGAAGGCGCCATTGAGTATGGTCGTAGGAATTGGGTGTGTGTTCATCTCAGTCAATGTGAGGTAAAATCCGACTGCAGTGGTGGTGAGGGTTGGGTGTTTGTCCATCAGTTTGCAAGCTGTTTTCCTCTATTCGAATGACTGGGGCACCCGGCTGCTGCCAAGTTGGTGTAAGTCCATTTGTGTTGCTGGCTCAACATTTGTTTCTAGGTTAGATTAAAATGCAGCTGCCTGCTCCCGATTGGCACTTTGTTCCATTAGGACATGAGAAGAAAAAATGCTGTCTGTGGAAGCCTTCATCTTGAAAGAATCTTTTGTGCCAACTTCTCAACCCAGAGTGCTTTTGTTATGAGTGTGGGAGGTTATGTGGATGAAAGTTTCTCTGCTCCGCACAAGTTGAAGGTCTAAATTCTCAGTAGAACCTTAAGCTTTGTTCTTTGTTTCAATTAATTTTAGATCTCTTTTAAAGTTTATGGATTTTCGTTTTTTTTGCACAAATATTTGCCCCATAGGGAGAACACTTTACTATAACCATTAGCTAGCATAGAAGCCCATGATTTTAGCCAGTGTGCTTTACTTACTAATGATTTCATACATTCTAGGCTTGGAAAAACAAAAAACAAAAAACATGACTTGTTTTTTATCTCAACATTTGCGGTTGAGAAAACCCAGTGTTCCTGTGTGTGGGCATTGCTAGAGGGTGAGCAGGGTTCTGAGACCCCGTCCCTCAGATGCTGCTGGTTACTGAGCCCTTGTTTCCTTTATAGAATTGTTTCTTAGTCTTGTAACACTGTCAGAAGGACAGTGTTTCCTTCTAGAGGGAGCGAGGTGAGAAAGTGTAGGTAGAAAAGAGTTAAATAATTGATAGTGTTTTTTAAAAAAATATTATTTTGATTTTATGTGTATGAGTGTATTGCCTGCATGTATGTAAGTGTGCCTCTGTCTTGCAGTGCCTAAGGAGTCCAGAAGAGAGCATTAGATCCCCTGGAACTGGAATTACACATGGTTATTTGCCACCATGTGGGTGCTGGGAACTGAACCTGGGTCCTCTGCAAGAGGAGTCAGTGCTCTTAACCACTGAGCCATCTCTCCAGCCCCTTAAGATAGATTTGTGATAGAACTTGTTTCTGAGCTTAATTTCTTAAAATTAATTGTGTGTGTGTGTCTGTGTGTGTGTGGTGTGTATGTGTATGTGTGTTTGTCAGTTTGTCTGTGCCACTGTGGATGTGGAAGCCAGAGGTCAACCTCAGATGTGAGTCTTTTTTTTTTTTTGGTCTTTTTTGAGACAGGGTCTCCCTGTAGCTGGCCTGGAACTTGCTATGTAGACCAGGCTGGCCTCGAACTCAGAGAGATCCACCTGCCTCTGCCTCCTAGGTGCTGGGATTAAAGGTATGCATCCCCACGCTTGGCAGATGTGAGGCTTTAGTCAACCTCCACTATGATTTTTGGTCACCAGGTCTTTTCCTGGTGTGGGGCTTTCCATGTAGGCTGGGCTGACTGGCCAGTGAGCCCCAGGACCCACTGTCTCTACTTCCCCAGCACTGGGTTGCAAGTGCCCACCACCAAGCCTCACTCTTTGTTTTTATTAATTTTTTTTACATTTATTTATGTGTGTGTGTGTGTGTGTGTGAGAGAGAGAGAGAGAGAGAGAGAGAGAGAGAGAGAGAGAGAGAGAGGAAAGTGTGTGTGCATGTGTGTGTGTATGCGCACATGCCATGGTGCCCATATGGAGGTTAGAGGACAACTTTTGGGAATAGGTTTTCTCCCTCCCCCATGTGGATTTTCTCCCTCAATTCAGGTCAACAGGTTTGGTAGCAGGCATTAGGCTGGCCGAATCCTTGCTTTTTTTTTTTTTTTTAATAAAAACATGGGTTCTGGAGATCAAACTCAAATTCTTTACTGATTGAGCCACTTGAGCTTAATTTCTTGAGTTGCTTATTCATTCCTAGGAATAGAACTTTTTTTTCTTTTCTGCAGTTTAGCTAGGGCTTGTACATAAGCAAACGCTATGCCAATGAATTGTATTTTCAGCCCTTGTAGGAACTTGAATTCTGTTATTTGTTATCTAAGCTTTTAATCCAAGACCTCATAACTACACCACACTAGTGTACTCAGCAAACCCCTTCTCTAAGGTAGTTTGGAGTTAGAAAGTGAGTGAACAGAGGATTAGTTAGTTCTGTTGGCTCATACCCCGGTGTTTGGAGAAGCTGAATGTTACTGACAGAGACTGAGGAGATGATGAGTGGTCTTTCGGTCTAGTTAACTTTTTCTAACCCTTGGAATACATAGAATCTCTTCTCCTTACTGAATATTATTTGCAATAGCAAAACAGATCAAGCATTAGGTCTAAAATTAAGTCTACTTTAGAGTGTGCATTCTTGGCTGCAAACACTGTTCTTAGTTCTGAAGACCAGCCAGGAGATGATGGTGTAGGTGATGGTGGTGATGATGATGATGAAGACGAATGCACCAGTGACTGCAAGCCGAGGTGTCTGGAAGCCATTGTAGGCCAGGCACAAACACTCACTCAGTCCTTGAATTAACCTGTGAGGTAGGTTATTGGTTATCTTCATGTTATGGATAGGAAACCTGATGTGTGTGGAGATATTAAGTCGTCTTGGAGTCAGGCAGCTGGAATGTGAGTGGCTGGGTAGTGCAGCCTCTGCAGTGTTGGGCTAACCCTCTGTCCTGGTCTGTTGTCAGGAACTGTTAACTGTTGTGATTATTTGTCCTCTTCTGCCCTCCCTTCTTTCCTTCTTCCTCTTCCTCCTCCTCCCTCCTCTTCCCTCCTCCTTCCTCCTCCTCCTCCCACCTTCCTGCTGCTTCCTCCTGCTTGCCTCCCCCCTCTTTTGAGACAGGGTCTCATGTATCCCAGGCTGGTCTTGATCTCTCTGTGTATCAGAGAAAAGATCTTGAAGGTGATCCTTCTCCCTCCACACCCCAAGTACAGGGATTACAGGCGATTGCTAATGGAAGATGGATTATCTTCCAAAATCTAGAGCTATTCAGTGACTTGTAATCTTTTCATTTTATAGACTTGACTTTTTTATTCATTGCCATTTTCAAATATTATGTATAAACAGTATTTTTGCATGGTGATTTTCTTTTTGAGGAGCATTCATTTCTTAGGGAAATGCTTTTGCCGTTTGTGTGTATATGGTGTGCATGCATGTGTATAACTTTGTGTGTATGCACATCATGTGTGGGTGCATGTCTGGAGGCCAGAGGTCATTGTTCTCTTCCGTAGTTGCCTTCCACATTACTCTTGAGATAATTTCTCACTTGAGATAATCTCTCACTGAACCTGGAGCTCCCAAAAGACCAGCAAGTCCAGAGATCATTCTGTCTCTGCCTCCTGGTGTTAGGATTACGGGGTGTGGGGTGTCTCTCTGTGTGTGTGTGTGTGTGTGTGTGTGTGTGTGTGTGTGTGCCAGCTCTTTATGTGGGTGTTGAAGGTCTCAGATTATGTGTCAAACACTGTATAGACCAAGCCATGTTCCTAGTCCCCTCCCCTCCCCTTCCCCCCCGAATTTCCTCCCTTCTTTCTTTTGGGGGTTTTGAGACAGGTTTTCATTATGTAGACCAGGCTGGCCTTAAACTCACCGAGATCCATCTGCCTCCTGAGTGCTGGGATTAAAGGCATATACCACCACGTCCAGTCAGTCCTCTCTTTAAATTTTTTAAAACAGTATTTTATTATTTTTATACTATATGTGTGTGTGTACTGCCTGTATGTAGGTGGGTGCACCCGTGTCATGCAGTGCTTTCGGAGGTCAAAAGAGGCCATTGAATCCCTTGGAACTGGAGTTATGGATGGGTCGTAGCCTCCATGTGGATTCTAGGAACTGAACTCTGATCCTCTGGAAGAACAGCCTTAACTACTGATACATCTCCAGCTCCCAGTTCCCTCTTTTTTTTTTCTTCCTGAGACAGGGTCTCTCTGTAGCCCCAAGCTGTCCAGGATTCACTATGTAGATCAGGCTGGCCTTGAACTCACAGAGATTGGCCTGCCTCTGCCTTCCAAGTGCTGGGATTAAAGGTGTGCACCACCACGCCCAGCCAGTTCCCTCTTTTTAAAATAAAAAATTAATTTTTTTTATTTGTGTATGGACATGTGCTATGGCATGCATGTAGAGGTCAAAGGGCAATTTAGTGGAAGTCGGTTCTCTGTGTTTACCATGTAGGTCCTGAGGCTCAAACTCAGGTTGTCAAGTGCCTTTACTCTCTTAGCCATCTCACCACTCTGCCCACCATCCCCGCTGCTCCAGTATGTCTGGCCTGGAACTTGCTGTGTAGCCCTGATTACTCTCAAATGTGTGTCAGT